AAACAGAATTTAACACTAGGACGAAAAAGAAACTCATTCACGAATGTGCCCCCACACCCACCATGGAGCCATAATTGGAGGCAAGACACCCAACAGGAAGCTATTGCCGATCATGCTAGGGCCTCGTAGGGGTGCGTCGCGAGTATACGCCCCACAAACGCCACCTTGAGAACTGTCGAGAGCGGGTTTAATGACGAAAGGAGGATTGACAATTAAAGGTTTCCCCTCGCGACGTTGGGTACTACAGTTCTATGGGTGCAAGAGTATGCCTCCTCAAACACCCGGGCGCCAAAGTAGAAGTAGTCCAAAGGAATAATCAAAACGAGCAAAAGGTCAGCAGGAAACCGACAAGCAGATAGGAGAAGAGGGGTGAGAAACTAAACGGAAGGAAAAGGCATCCAACAAAATGCGTGAGGACAGCAGCAGGAGCACAAGCAAGTAATTATCAAAAGAAGTCACCAAACTGGGAAGGCAATGGAAGCAGGAGCACAAGGCTACAAAAGGACAGGGGAACGTCGTAAGGAGCATCACACTCCGTCTGCCGCCCACCAAGCCCCTCCACGGTAGCAACAAGCTGGATAGGGAGGGGGTGTAGAAGCAAGCAGAGATGAGCAGAGTTAAAATTAAACAGATTGCCAAAGCCTTGATAAGTCTTTAGGAGAAAAAGGTGGAAGCAGCTGCTGCTAGTGGTAAGGGTTCTTAAGCATGTTCTAGTAGTGGATTTTACTTCCGTAAAGGGTTTGAATAATGCAAATTTCATTTGAAGGACCCCTAATTTTTTTCTTGCACTTTTCAAAGTTAGCTACTAGTTTAAAGGGGCAAGGATTTTTTGGGTGGCCATTATGCAAGGTCAGTTGTGAGGGAAGCCACAAGAGATTTTGGCCTCGCTAACTTTCTTAGACAGATTTCACTATCGAAATTTTATATTATATATTATATTATATATTATATATATATATATATTATATATACATAAGCTTATGAGCTCAATGCACAAGTACCAAGAAACGTTTAGGGGTCTCTAGCATGCATTTGATCAGACCGTTACAGATTCCAAAAGAGTAGAAGTCGAACTTTTGATAGGTGGCTTAATAGAAATACTATTTTTGTCCTTTAACCAGCTCATCCTAGTAGAAGAACTAGTAACTTTACTAGTAGTAGCAAGAGGTATTCCATAGTTACGAGGGAGTCTAACATTACTACTAATACAACTAACTATTCAAAGATTTTATTTCCCTTTGAATTTAAATCAAAACATCTTCCATAATTTAACAAATTTCCGTTTTAAATTACAATGCAATTCCAATTATCTATAATTCCTCTAAGCATAGTATCTGGCGGTGGTGGAAGTAACCGTAGTAGTTACTATTTGGGTGATTGTAGTTACTATTTCCTGGAAGAGTTCTTGTGTAGTTACCACAGGGACCGTCTGGATCTGCAAATACAAACATTATTGAAGTTTGTGTAATTAAGTAAATGAACACTTGCACAAGTTAAAGACTACAAACTTACCTCGTGAGCAACAGCCACGTGGGTTATAGTCTGCCAGTATTTAACAGTATCTGTTGTGGTGACGAACTGACTGTAGACGGAGACCATTGTGCTCACTGGGTAGACCCCCACCGTAGCCGTCACCAACACTACCGGTGTGGAGGTGACCCTTATCACAGAGGTCACCGTCTGTGGCTGCTGGGGAACAAACTCCCATTGGGTGGTCGTCTGGGTGACTGTCAGGGTGATCGCTATCTGCTCAGTAACCCAGACGTCAGAGGTTGTAGTCTCCCGCAGAGTGTGGGTCAGGGTAGTCTGCAATATTATACATCATTACTTTGTTAAAGTATAAATAACATTTTGGTTAAGAAAAGTAATGCCATGGTTACCAACCTCAGTGGTTACAGTGGAGGTTGTGGGGGTAACGACTGGTAGGGGCGCGTGGGTGCCATAAGGTTGGTATGCCTGACCCAGGATCTGTTGGGGAGCAATTATTAGTCTCAATTTTTTTTTATTATCATTAGTTATTTGAGAATACAGTAATTTGGCAATTACCTGGGCGATGCAACCGAGGATTAGTAGAGCAAATACCGCCATCTGTGTAGAAAAAATGCACTTTTAAATCAAATCACAATAGTGTTTTTGGTTACCATGACCATAAACCATCAGATTTACTTTGAATTGTTAGCAACTGACGTTATAATACCGAGTAGTTCATCACCGACTGACGAACTAAAAACAATTTTTTGGAATTTGTCACTAGTACAACAATTAGTTATAACTAAGTTTTTGAAGCCGGGCAAATAATTAAAGATGGTTGGGAAGGTAGTGGGATACCGAGGCGTCCAGAAGGTAAAGACTGGGTGCTTCGACATTAGAACACTTAACGAGACTTTGCGGTTTAGCAATTTATGAACGGCCAAGCACACTTTCCACATTACTCGATACATTGATATTTAAAAGCTTAACTGTTTAAAGACAATACAGTTTATTAAATTCAATGATTCTAATTGGGCAATGACAACTATTCAGTTTAATAACTTCGGGTGAAGTGAAGATTACAACTTAAGAGTTCCATTTAGATAACTAATTCAGTTAGTTATTAACACGGCCCCTAACGTTATGTTTAATGATTGTCAGGCAATATTCAAAAGGTTAATGTCGAGTAGTTATAAGACAGAAACTGGTATATTCAAAAGACATTTAAATTTTTACCCGCAGAGGCTAAAATTTATGAAGCCTAACTCAGAAGTGTCAATCAATTGAGTTATTTAACTAATATTTTTGATTAAGTAATCCGGAACTTTGACGAAACAACCAATTTGAAGTCTTCAAAACTTCAGATTTGTTACATCTGGAATTACTCTAACGAAATTTCAAGCATATTTTTTTTCTTAAATCACTAGTACTATATTAATAGATTTCATTTCATGTTACAGACCACGTGTGGGGTATAGTTAAGTACACCTGTTACTCTGGTTAAAATATTTTACTTACATGCCTAGTAGTGGTTAAGCTCCTAACCTAAAATATTCCCATAGACGAATTTAATATCACTAAGTTTAAGTATCTGGTTAATCTCCACCCATTATATCCTTCTACCGTATTCTTTCATTATCACTAATAAAATCGCCTGGATAATGTCCCAAGCATGCAAATTAAGATACTACTTTTAACCCATATCAATGAAATAAATACGTATTAAACTACCAACTACACGAATAATAAAATTACAATAAAAAACTATATCAGTAGAGAACTTAATCTTACATTTAACTTAAAACCAACCTTTAACAACACTTAAAGTAGAAGAGAAGGTACCACACAGACAACAGTGGACTGACTGAGGGTTGAAGGCGGCCGGACACCTCGTTGACTCAACACCAAACTCTTTAGGGGAAAGGTAGAAAGTTCCCCACAAAAGCTGCCAAGACCACCATAACAGCGCCATCTATTGACTGAACCTTCAGCTATGCTCCCTATGGAGCAAATTGATGTGACGACTCACTGAGCTTTAATATTTATTTTAATCATTTTCACTAACTCTCTTTGTTTATAATTATATTAAAATGTTAAGTTGATCAGACCACACACTAGAAGGTGAAGGGACGACGACGTTTCGGTCCGTCCTGGACCATTCTCAAGTCGATTGTGATGAGGAAGTAGATGCAGACAATAAATAGGCAAGAGCGGTGAGGAGCAAAGTAAGATATAGAAGAGGGGATAGTTGTAGGAATAAGAACTGCAGGGAGCCTATTGGCCCGTACGAGGCAGCTCCTATTAAAACCACCGAATGAGAGGAGATAGTAATAGGAATAAGAAGAGGATAGTAAGGGAACGTAAGAGAAAAAACAATGAACAGAAAAAAGAGAGGAGAGAAAGAAAAGGAAAGAGAAAGAAAGATAAATGGAAGGGTAAGCTTATGTTAGGTTAGGTTATCTTGAGGTTATCTTGAGATGATTTTGGGGCTTTTTAGTGTCCCCGCGGCCCGGTCCTCGACCAGGCCTCCACCCCCAGGAAGCAGCCCGTGACAGCTGACTAACTCCCAGGTACCTATTTTACTGCTAGGTAACAGGGGCTCTGCTCCCAAAGGCTCGGGCTCGGGAAGCTCAAGCTCTATCAACTGGGCTATGAATAGTCTTAATAAGGAAAGTTTCTAGGAAAAATAATAAGTAATAACTTAATAAGAAAAATAATTTTATTCAGTACAGTGTTGACTAGTAGCTAATTATTAAGATGTTTTATTGCTCCTGAGAAGCACACACAACACAAGTACTGAAAACAAATACAAGTCAGAGCACAGTTTGGAAGAGGAAAGTCTTTGCCAACAATATGAACTATGAGAAATGGAAATAATTTATAACGATATAATTTATGACTGCACCAGCTCAAGATAAAGACAGATGGCTAAGATATTGGTGGTGTACAATGGCCAGTTATGTTTGAGATCATGTTATAACCTAGGACCAGCTCCAGCCACTTGGGCTGGACAGTAGAGCGACGGTCTCGCGTCATGCAGGTTGACATTCAATCCCCGACCGTCCAAGTGGTTGGGCAACATTCCTTCCCCCAGTCTCGTCCCAAATCCTTATCCTGACCCCCTTCCCAGGGCTATATAGTCGTAATGACTTGGTACTTTCCCCTGATAGTTCCCTTCCTTTCCAGAACAAACTGACATGATACACTGCAGATGATGATTCACAATAACGTGGCTGAAAAATGTTGACCAAACCACACACTAGAAATTGAAGAGACTACGACATTTCTGTCCATTCCGGACCATTATCGAGTCGATTGCGAGACGAAAGTCGTCGTCTCTCCAATTTCTAGTGTGTGGTTTGGCCAACATGTCAACTTGCAAGCCAGATAAACAAATGACTACACCACCTTGGTTGAAGAAATTACTTCTTACTACTGTAATAGGAAAAGATAAGTAATTACTGTAGGTAATATGCAATTTAATAGAACTCTTCATTACTGTACTAATATACTCATCACTGTTTTACTCTACTGTCGCTCATGTAGCACACTGCACTTGTTCTAGGTTAAAACACAGCAACTTACTTAGTGTTCTAATAAAATAAAAACTAAGTTTAACCCAGCCAAATGCACTACATACATGTGAACACATCTTAATGACAACTCATATTATGCCCCACAACATCTAACTCATATACGGTACTTTCTAAAATGTCCTGTTCCATACATCAGTATTTCAGTATCTGCAAAATAAAATATTTTTATTCAATAACAAGAGATGAATCAATTATATACAAAAGATGTGGAGATTATTAAATTAAATTACACAAGATGTTTAAAATTACAAAGTATAAAATTCATTAAAATAAGCTTTTTAAAATATTTTCAATAGACAGCACATCCAGGAATACCTACACAGAGGACAGTAAATTTACCCTGTAAAGATGGTATATAAAGTCAACATACAGTCTTCCATTATATATAAAAAAAAAAAAAAATAATGCAACTAGAAAGTTTAACAGCTTAACATATCAACATACTAACATCAAAATATTTTGATTCTATGGAAGCAAGCATGTTCATTAAATGTTCTAGTTACAGTAATTAAATGTTCTAATATCACAATACTATCAACTAGCAAAGAATGGAAGACTGCACAACACCACAGTGCTACTCAATACATCAACATCAGATCATTTATTACTAAAATTTAATTGCACTATTTTCGTATGTATAAAAAAAACAGCACCAGTTTAAACAAACGGCACATTCAGTCCAGTAAAAACTAATTAAATTTTGTACAAGGTACAATTTCCTGTGAGTGAGCGATATATTGTGCGGAAGACGCACATCGAGGTTTGGGTACTGAGGAGTTTCAATTACTCCTGCACCAAATTTGAGCTCCAAGAAGTCTCGAACATTATTGGGTGCCGATGCCATAACTCCGGCAAAATTTACTGAGGCAAGAGGCCGCAAGAAGTGCTCTGGAAAATCTACATCCTGACGGTGTCCTGTAGTCCAAGCACCACCTCGAGTCATAGTGCCTCCACGTGGAGTAAATGGAAACACATCAACATGCAGGTGATTAGTTGTGCTGTAATGAACTCTGAAATACCCTCCTTCTGATGCTCTTTGCCACACAAAACCTTCGGTATCTTCAAGTGTCTGCCAACGTGCTGCCTTAAGCTGTGGACAACGATCAACATCTTGGGAATATATTCCCACATCTACATCATAATCCCATGGTATAATATCCCCACTGCGAACAGCACCTAGCAAAGACCCTCCCTCTAGCCACCACCGTGCTCGGCACACCCTTAACACCTGGAAAACATGTCGTGCAGTAGCCCTCTAGCCTTCTAAACAACATGGTGGTGTCCAGCGTCCCAGGTAAAGGTAATCTGGTGTATCATCTACAACTGTAGGAAAACAACGAGGAGTTGTGCGTGTACATCCATACCAGAGTACATTACCACCTGTGCTCACAACTTTTTTAACACCAAACGCAGCATAAAGTAAACGTCTCCGTTCGTCTTCGACTGCATCATGTTTCCACTTGAAGTGGTCATTAGCATAAAGCTGCCGACCTTCACCTATGAGACCACCCCGGCTAACATGAACTTTCCATGTACGTGCTGCACCTTGAATGCCAATACTTAGGGTTATCGGGCGTGCCAAAGGATGAGTGAGCTGAAGAAAACTGCTGGTTTTCATTAGCAATGCTGCACGACCACTAATTGCATCACAAGCTTCACTTTGAGGAGCAGGCGCAGGTCACATAATAATTTAGCCACGTTATTGTGACTCATCGCCTGTAAAATATTAATTTATTTGCAGGCTTTCTATTGCGTTACTGATTATTAGCCAAAATATTAGTTGTGCTTACAATATTTTCTTTCGTCTTATAATATTTTCTTTTATCTTATAATATTTGGGTAGTTATTTGATTATGAGTAATTCTAACACCGTAGGCCTAAAGGTATATATTTACCAAGGCCTACACTTGCATATTGAGAAATAACACTGTGGTCTTAAATTAATATTTTCGAAGGTTTGAGCAAAATCCTAAAAGGGGTTTGTATATTTTATTATATTTTGTTTTCGTTTTCCTTGCTAACAATAATAATTGTATGATACAAACACGTGGCTCTAATGTTTACATGATTTAACAATATGAAAATAGTAATAAAAATAAATCGTGAGTTGAAACAAACGTTGAATAACAGTGAATATAATAAATAAGTGTAAGCTTGTAGTGTAAACTAAATATTATAAAACGTATAATACAATAATAATTGTAAGTGATATAAAACCTGTGAGAAGTCAATACGCTAATGTTTACATGATTTTACAGTATGATATTAATCGTAAGTTGAAACAAACGTTGTATAACGATGGAAACGATAAATGAGTCTAGGCTTGTAGTGTAAAATGGGAGTTGCCAATTACTGTCCATAAGGAGGCGTATATAAGAATAACGTAGGGGCGCAGGCCCAGCTAAGGGAGTTGAGATTTGAAGAAAGAGACGACCAGAAGAGACATAATAGTAAGGTGGGTTACACGATGGGGGGTTCTGGCAGAGGTTTCCCCACCAGCATAGCAACTGTCGTGCAAATCCCTATTCTGTAATGCGGACAGAACACGGCTCCAAAAGGAGAATAGGGACTTGAAGGAGCCCCACCTGATGGGGATATGTTGGGCGTTGCTCTTTTAGCGACCAACTTCTCGCACAGACTTTGTAAGTCGGGCGGTAATTCACAAAGGTTTTGTAATGTACCATGGATGTTCATCGAGTGGCGGCCAACATTAGGGTGTCTACAAGTCTGAAGGAGAGAGTGCCTGAAGTTTGTAGTCTCCGACTCAGCTGACGACTCTCCACGGGTCGTAGCGTCCTTGGGAGAGTCGTGGAGAAGGTCCCCTTGGTTGTTCTTAATGCGTAGCCATGATGAGGGATGTGGAGTATCCTCATTACTAGGTGTGATGCGCATGTATAAGTACATAAGAACAAAGGCAACTGCAGAAGGCCTATTGGCCCATGCGAGGCAGCTCCTAACCACCCAATCCCACTCATATACATGTCCAACCCATGCTTGAAACAATCGAGGGACCCCACCTCCACCATGTTACGCGGCAATTGGTTCCACAAATCAACAACCCTGTTACTGAACCAGTATTTACCCAAGTCTTTCCTAAATCTAAACTTATCCAATTTATACCCATTGTTTCGTGTTCTGTCTTGTGTTGTTACTTTTAATACCCTATTAATATCCCCTTTGTTATGTCCATTCATCCACTTGTAAACCTCTATCATGTCACCTCTAACTCTTCGCCTTTCCAGTGAATGCAACTTAAGCTTTGTTAATCTTTCTTCATATGAAAGATTTCTAATTCGGGGAATTGACTTAGTCATCCTACGCTGGACACGTTCAAGTGAATTTATATCCATTCTATAATACGGCGACCGAAACTGAACTGCATAATCTAAATGGGGCCCTAACCAGAGCAAGATATAGGTTAAGAACCACACCAGGTGTCTTGTTACTAACGCTGCGATTAATAAATCCGAGTGTCCGATTTGCCTTATTACGAACATTCATGCATTGATCCTTTTGTTTTAAATTTTTACTAATCATAACTCCCAGATCCCTTTCGCAATCCGACTTCGCAATCTCAACACCATCTAGCTCGTATCTTGTAACTCTATCATCATTACCTAGCCTCAGAACTTTACATTTATCAGCATTAAACTGCATCTGCCAATCCTTTGACCATTTCAAAACCCTATCTAGATCAACTTGAAGTGATAGTGAGTCCTCCACCGAATTAATTTCCCTACCGATTTTCGTATCATCGGTAAATTTGCAAATGTTGCTACTCAAACTTGAATCTAAATCATTTATATATAATCTAAACAACAGAGGTCCCAGGGCAGAGCCTTGAGGCACTCCACTTACAACAATTTCCCACCCTGTCTTGACTCCATTTATACTAACTCTGTTTCCTTTTGTATAGCCATGCCCTAATCCAGCTTAATATAGCACCCCCAATACCACGAGCCTGTATCTTTTTAATCAGTCTTTCATGTGGCACTGTATCAAAAGCTGTGCTAAAGTCAAGGTACACAACATCACAATCCTTACCACTATCAACTGCCTCAACTATGCTAGAATAAAAAAATAACAAATTTGTTAAACATGAACGGCCATTTATAAAACCATGTTGCGACTCAATTATTTATTTATGTTTTTCAAGATGGAGACGAATTTTATTTGCAATTATAGATTCGAGTAACTTTCCCACAATAGACGTTAGGTTAATTGGCCGATAGTTAGACGCAAGTGATCTATCTCTTTTCTTAAAAACTGGTATCACATTAGCAACTTTCCATAACTCCGGCACTCTGCCTGACTCTATTGATTTATTAAATATGGTAGACAGTGGGTCGCAAAGCTCCTCTTTGCATTCTTTAAGCACCCTGGCAAACACTTCATCCGGCCCTGGGGATTTGTTTGGTTTGAGTTTTACTATTTGTTTAAGAACATCCTCCCAGGTATCTTCTAAACTCGTGAACACAACCCTCGTCCCCACCCACATAGACTTGTTCGGCTGAAGACATATTGTTAAGTTCCTCTTTAGTAAATACAGATACAAAATATTTATTAAAAATGCTACTCATTTCTTCATCACTGTCTGTTATTTGACCTGTCTCAGTTTCTAATGGACCTATCCTTTCCCTAATCTTTGTCCGGTATAATTAGAAAAACCCTTTAGGATTTGTTTTTGCTTGCTCTGCTATGCGAACTTCATAGTTTCTTTTTGCTTTCCTTATCTCTTTATTAGTATTTCTAACCAGTTGTACGAATTCCTGTTCTAAACAGACTTCCCCATTCTTACTCCTTTTGTACCAAGCTCTCTTTTTACCTATAAGGTTCTTCAGATCCTTTGTTATCCACTTTGGATCATTAGTATTCGATCTATTCAATTTATATGGTATACTACATTCCTGGGCTTTGGTTAGAATATTTTTAAATAGGTTATATTTTGAATCCACATCGAAAACCCCTTTTACGTCACCTATCGCTGCGTTCACGTCTAGCTCCAATACCTGCCCACAACCCATACCCAAGACTTTCCAATCTATTTGACCCAAAAAATTTCTTAGGCTATTGAAATCATCTTTTCGAAAATCAGGCACTTTACCAGAATTTTCTCCTACGGATCTATTCCATTGAATGCTAAATCTGATTTCTTTATGATCACTGTTCCCTAGCTCACTTCCTATTTCGATGTCCTTAATTTGTGTTTCCCTGTTAGTTAACACTAAATCTAAAATATTATTTCCCCGCGTTGGTTCCTTAATGTGTTGCGTAAGAAAGCAATCGTCAATTACTTCTGGAAAATCTTCTGCTTCATTATTCCCTGTTTTGTTCAACCAGTTTATTTCACTAAAATTAAAGTCACCCATGACATAAATTCTGTTAGATCTAGATGCTCTAGATATTTCATCCCATAGATGCTTTGCTTCCATTCTGTCTAAATTTGGTGGCCTATATATAACACCTATTGTAATGTTATTTGCTTTTTCGTTTAATTCTATCCAAATAGTTTCTGTATGTGGCTCAGTTTTAATTCCCTCTGAGACTACATTTTAAATTGTCCCTAACATATATGGTTACTCCCCCTCCTCGTCTAATATATCTATCTGTGTGAAATAGTTTAAATCCATATATTTTATATTCAGCTAATAGCTCTCTATTTTCTACATTCATCCACGTTTCGGTAAGTGCAATAATATCTATTTTTTTCTGTGCAGACAAGAGCATTTAAATAGTTTATTTTATTTCTTAAACTTCTAGTGTTTGTGTAATATACCCTAAGTGAATTGTTATTTTGAGGCTCTTCTCTTTTCCTGATCATTTTACCAATTCTTTTCTCCCACAAACACATACTTTTATTACTCATAAGAATATATATATATATATATATATATATATATATATATATATATATATATATATATATATATATATATATATATATATATATATATATATATATATATATATATATATATATACAACTTTAGAACACTTTCCCACCAGGAGACTCGAACCCTAGCCAGCACAGAAGCCTTCCAGCAACTGGCATAACAGGTACGCCTTAACCCACTCCACCACCTGCTCAGACCCTTAAAAGAGATGGTAATTTCGGAGTATTTATACACTCCAAAGACCACCACCTCCCAAGAGCACTAGAGCAAGTGAGGGGTCATTTTTACGTTTTTTCATCAAGTCCCTGTTAATATGGGAGAACACTGTGTCTATGCTTGAGGCACAACTCTCCTAAACACGAGAGTGAAGTATACAACTTTAGAACACTTCGAGTCTCCTGGTGGGAAAGTGTTCTAAAGTTGTATACTTCACTCTCGTGTTTAGGAGAGTTGTGCCTCATATATATATATATATATATATATATATATATATATATATATAACTGAAAACTCACACCCCAGAAGTGACTTGATAAAATGCTATGCCCAAGATTACCATCCGAGTGCCGGCGGGGAAGTGGTTCATATAGCCTCGGCTATCACTTCCTTATGTCCGGTCGTGATGGTCAAGCGGATTAAGGCGTCCCTGTACATACCAGTTGTGGGAGTATGGGTTCGAGTCACTTCTGGGGTGTGAGTTTTCAGTTGTATATAGTCCTGGGGACCATTCAGGCTTGTTTGCATATATATATATATATATATATATATATATATATATATA